AAAATGTGGCCGACAAATCTTTATAGAACAATATTAGCCGACTTGGAAACTTCATGTTCATTTTTAAGAGAACTTAAGAACAAATTTAACATAAAATATTTTAGTTTTTTATAAATTTAGCCAAGATAAAATTGCTTGTCGAAATCACCGGTGTACCACTCACCACCAAAAAATATGCATACGTAATAAAAAATAAATCGGAGGAAATCCAAATTTTGTTAAAATTTTATGCAGTCTTCCTTTTATTATAGATATCGCCACGATTGTATATCTTCGTCTGTAGCTATTTCTTTATACGCTACACAATATCGCGTTCTAAGCCAAGAATTGCTATACAGTCCAGAAAAAAAGACCTCGTTTAAAAGAAAAAGGTTTCACATCGATATCTCCTATATTTTATGGATTGCATCAGCTGTTACTTGTTAAAGAAAAAAATGAAGATTCATTCGAAGTATAGATGGACCGGATCATTTGGAATCAGCTGGTAACCGTATAACATTTTGTGTCTGTCTCTATCTTATGTTGCCTGTTAATTTTCTGTCCTTGTCGATGGTCAAATTTATTGTGCAAGCTGGCAATTTTGAAGTTATACTTTGGCTAGGCAGATGTTTTTGAATTTTTATTCTAAATTCAAGTTAAAGTCTTCTTTTCTCGGAATTTTTACTGCTTTAGATTTGGTGTATAGCTCCTTCCTAAGAGATATGTTTCCAATTTTCATAATTATTCCAAATTCTTTTACTATCTACTTTACATATGACATTTGAATCTCCAGAACAACGACTCCTATGACTTTATTCTTTTACCATTTGACAACCAAGTAATTCAGGATGGATATACTTTTCTTCGAGACCCATACGGGAGAAGCTGAAATTTCGATGAGGTAAGTATGTCCCAAGTCTAATCTAATCTAATAAAATAATATTAAAGTTGAGATGTTTAGGGTAAGAGGGGTTTATTAAGTTTACCTCTACCTAATAGGTAAATTTAATAGTTAAAACGTATAAGAGTTTTATCAAATTCCCGTATGAAATAGTTTTTGGCATAGACAAAGTAAATAAATTGTAAATGAACGACATGGTATACTGTAGTTACTGATATGATACTAGTTGATTTAACAAGTTTATTTTATTTATATGATCATCAGTAACATGTAAATTAACTGTTGTTGATGATATATTATTGAATTAAATTTAACGATATACACTATTTTTGTGACTTTAATTTAGGTATTTCAGTAAATATATATCATTATTGAAATAAATATATATCATGATCTCTTGTGACACCACCAGGTGGACATTTTTAAATGTAGATACTCATTCGATAAATGCCATAAACGATATTAATAAACACATGTCCTTCGTCTATCTCCTTCTTACGTAGGTAGACATTTCTCCATCCCTGTTTTATCAACAGCTGTTTCGCAACGGGATTAAAGAGGCGTGCGCCTGCGCAAGATGACTTAGGGTTGTCGCTATTTGCATTAGGTATGTTTTATTACGAAAACGAAGAAAAATATTTTAAATAAATCTCACATTAAAACAATTTAGAACTTTGATTCGGCATCCAATCCATTAACTTGGCCGGGATCACTGGTCGTTGTCACAATTTAATAATTGCTTTACTTATATTTTTAACAACACTTTTATAAAAAATTCGGGTGTTGCAACTCAAGTGTTTTCAAAATCATATATTTTCTACCGGTATATTTCAGCGTCATAAACGCAAATGAAAATATTAAATACGTGCTACAAACACGTACAATTATATTTTCACTAGACCCGTTTATTTCTAGTAGGTAGATGTCAAACTTATCTCGTAATAAATTAAATTTATACATAAGTCAAGTAGTATATATAAGTTTGAATTCCATGTGTAGTAATAATCATTTGACATTTACATGTACGACATAGAATCACTAATTAAATATATTTAAACTTTACCCATCCCTAGTGTCTAATGTCATAGTCAGCTGCTGAGACCGTTTCATTTTCAACATTCAAAGCCTCACAGCTGGTCTTTTGTGATAATTTCTTATATACCACGTCCTTGGTTCCTTGCAAGCGCGTGCATAAAGATGTTGAAAAAAAAATCGAATTCGAATTTTAAACTTGGCAGTTGGTAGGTAAATAGAAATACGCTATTTATATGCCAAGCTACCACTAAACATATAATCGAAATAACAACCAAAGAGAATTTAAACACCATCTAACATAAAATAATTTTAAAAATGTTCTAAATTCAAATTTCTCAAAAACTTTTAAAAGCAAACAGACTTAGTTAATAAACAAATGCATGTATCCGGCTTTATTGTCTGGTAAACAAAGGTTTTAAAATCGTGAAGTGTTGCCCTGGCACGATTTTTCTTTACCGACGAAGGCGAAGAAAACGTGTAAGCAATGCCACGCACGATATTTATAAATTAGCTTGTAGTTATTAGTTATTCGTTTTAGTAAATAAGTAATTGAATGAACGATTTGTTATTATTAATGTCTTTCCTATATTATCATATCGAATATACGATAGAAAAGATTACACAGATTACATGAAATCTGTATCTATAAAAAACATGTTCTTTTGAAACAAATAAGTGCTTATAAAATTATATTATTAAAACAATATTGATTACATCTTTCTTCGAAATATTTTTGGAAGTTTATTTTTAATTGTTCAAGATGCAGATGAACTTTGTCTTCACTAAAATGTGTTGCTAATTACGGTCCAGCAAAAGCTCACAACATTTATTTCAATAGACAATGGCGCCATCTGGTTCGTTTGTTTCGGCGGCCATTCTAAATAGCACATCTGGCACAGTATTGCCAACTTCCGCTGTTCAATTATTTACTTCCTATTCTTTGGCAGAACATCTGGATATACCTACTTACAAAAGTTTATTTTTGGCAGTTATACACATTATATACATTTAGGGCTTTTAAGGTTTTTATACTTATTGTTTTTAATTTTGTTCAGTTTTATTTAAAGGTTTTTATATTGCTGTTTTATTATGTGTTCGAAAGATGTTATATATAAGTCTGCGTTTTTCTTTTTATTAGTGACTGTCTACATTTCGGTCCAGTCAGATCCAGTTTAGTTTGGAATAACGATTATCCGTTTTTGTCATAAAAGTAGGTATTAGGTTTTTAAAAGCAACCCAATCGTAGGATTAAGCAGACCAAACTGTCGGGTACTGTGTAAAAAAATCAGAATAATAGTTTTTATTACAAAGATCTATTTCAGCAATGTATGTATTTAAAGAGACCTTCTTCAGACCTTATAATTGTATGATTATACATTACACGATTTTACTCAACATTTACATTCACTTACTTATTCACGGCCAAAGACGCATTAACTTTTTTATAGTGTAGTTTGGAGATATATATTTAGATTTTAAATTTTAAATGTTTGTTTTCAAGTTTCTTTTCTTTCATAGGTTAGATTTTTTATTTCCACTGCGTTTCAGTGTGTTCCGCAAAACCCTAAGGCTCTTCAAGCTTGCGTTCGGACTCCATTAAAATATTGGTCCATTTTGAAAAATGGAATATATGTAATTCATTATAAACTCACATAAAACTAGATCTTATTTTTGAAGCACCATGTAGGTATTTTTTTCCAAAAGTGTTTCAATGCTATAAAATGTTTGAGAACCGATACTTTAAAATTATATTGAAAGTAGATATGTTAATGCAAACAAATCGAATTGTCAATGCGTATACGGAATAGGATACGGTCGTCAATGTTCTACTATAAAAAAAAAAACAAAAAATATTTCTCTTCCAAATAGGTGGGTAGGAAAAATTGTTGAAAACGAGTCAACAAGTCAAGATGTGTGTGACAGATGGCAGTGAAAAAAAACTCATCGTCTTTAATTAAGCAGGTGGCACGAGCCGATGCTAATTCACGTTTTAAATTATTAAACACAATAAAGTAAATGACCTTATTTACTTTAACTTCATTTCCTTTTAATGTTTAACATTTTAAAGAAAAAATATAGTCAAAACTTCAGCTTACTAATGTCTCTTAGGGGTCATCCATTAATAACGTGAGGCTCGAAAGAGGGGGGGGGGGGGGGAAGATCGTCAAAAATCACGAAATATCATAAGGGGAAGGGGGTGTAGTAATATATCACGTGTATTTATGTTTTCCTCAAACACGTGATTACTAAACCGAAAACTGGCGTCAAAAATTAAGATTTTTTGTAGGTACTAAAAATACATGTGCTTCGGGTGGAGAAGGGGAGTTAGTCTTACATCTCACCATGTATAACCAAGGGGGTTTAAAAAATGCTGAAAAACATCACGTGATTAATGGACGGCCCCTTACCGTTCCGTAAAATTTGAACCTTAATAGGTTAAATTAATAAAACAATAGGCTGTAGAAAAACCTGTTTACTATACAATATTTAGTTATGGCCAGATCAAAGTAATTGTACAAAACTTTCTTTTGATATGTTTTTATTAATTGTTACAGTTGCAATTGATTGTACCATGTCAAAATATATTTGGAAATTCATGATACATAATTATCGCACTTGTTTATCTTGACAGATTTGGAAATTCCAGAAATACAGAGACCGTAACCAATAATGCCTCTACTCTAGTCATTCCCTAGCTCCTAAACGATGACCGTTAAACGTACTGTGCGGCTGTTAAAGCTCTTTTTTTCTTATTTTACAAAAAGTATAGTCAATTTGAGACTAATTTACCTTTAAATCTTCTTTTTAATGGACATAAATGATACCAAATTAAAAAATATTTCAGTTAAAATAACTTTAGCTATCAAGTAATCCAGACTACATACCTAATCGCTTTGAAATAGGACAAAAATAATTATAGAAAATATAGAAACTTTTAGTACTAGCTATCACGTTAAATAATCCTTATTAATAAACGTAAAACTAGAAATTAATTCACAGTAACGTGTTAAATTAATTAAACTAATTGCATCAATACATAAAAAAACCGTTACATTTTTTATAGATAGTTACAAACTACCCTTACCTAATCCGATTTTTTTCTTGATTTTCTTCAAAACTTTCATTTTGGAGCCTTTCTTGTCTTTCACAGGCGTCGTCTCCTGTTCCAATGCCATCGGTGGCAACACCAGGGTCTGGGGAGGCATTTGAGCACCGTGGCCTGAAGCCCTAGGACAAGCGGGGCAGTGGCATGGTCCTCTCGCCTGCCTCACGCTTACGCAATTGCTTACACCCATCATTTAGCTTAATTTTAAATAAACACGACAACTTAAAAATTTATTTTATAAACGTTATATCATAGCGTCACACGCGAATAAATATTTAGAACACGATCAACATGCGGTTAAATTTCGCGACGACGACATCCGCACGCGACGGTGCCTGGCGGCGGAGTGACGAATAGCGAGCGGCGAACAAGTACGTCGGATTGCGCGCGCATCACAAGCCCTTTGCACCGCGATCTCTTTCACTCTTTGCATTTTGAAAAGGAAGAGGTAATTGTTATTGCTTGTCGAGTGGGGGAAATGTCAACAGGGTGTCTTTATTTTCAGCGTAGACAGATGATAGGACGAAGGGTGTTCAGGACTAATTTAGGTTTTATAGGCACTTTATGAGTTGGCTAATTTGTTTTGGGTTAGGGTCATCCAGCTAGAAAATTGTTATATATTTACATTTCGTTATGACCTAGAATCAAGTAAATTAGGTTTTTTTTATGACATTTTAAAACATTTATTCCTTGGCAGCTCAAATGAAAAATCCGCTTTTTTTATCAATATTATAATTTGAATTTTACTATCCGTTTGAATCGGTATTAAGAAAAATCTGGTAATAAGAAAGAAATAAAATGATCACCATTTTCAGGGCACAGTAACCATAATGACTTTCTATTTGTCCTTAAATAGAAGTGGGAAATTTATATGACCATTATCAGACCTGTCGTCCAGAAAAGATCTCTATTTCGGACAGTAAAGTGGACGAATAGAACTCGATTACACGTTGCTGATAAATTCAAAGAGGACATTAGGAGAAAGAATCAATAGCAACTAAAAGATTAGAAAGATCGTTCTTACCTATGGGTAAGGATATTAAAGTTAGCACGTATTATAAAACTGGTAATAAGCATGGATACGGATTGTGAAAATATGAATTCAGCACAGTCTAAGAGAGGGTGATAAGGGAGTGACTAGAATGGAAAATTAAAATAAGCTTATCTACATAGCTCCAACAATAACTAATATTGAGAACAGATATGAGAGACTGATTATATCTAAGATGAATATAAAGGCTATAGTCTAATTTCATGGTAAGATGTGGACTTCCAGGCATATTTAATTAAAGGTATATTACTCTAGCTTTTTTAACGAAGGGAAAATGCGTTACGCCTACAAGTGGAAAATGTGTTGTCTCCTCTTTTGATTGTCCCCTTTTCTTTGCAGGTAACTAAGAAAAGGCGACGCTCAGTGCCAGCAGGTGGAATTTTTTTCTACAATGTTAGGTGGCAGATCAGTCTACGTCTACTTGTGAGCTCTGTATGAAATGAAGAAAGTTTGAACCGGTCGAAATTATTCAATTCAAAACTAATTATATAAATTTCTTATTTATCTATAAAATACTTGCGGTTAATACTTTCCCCTAGAAATAATCATGTTAATTTTCCCATTTAAAAGATAATGCCATTACATACTTTATTATTTTATGAACCATATAAAATATGTATACTTAATTTTAACTTGATTTCATTTCGGTAATTAAAGTGCTTTATTTAATATTTAAATCTTTTGACCTTCACATACTAAAAGAAAAGGTTTTATGACAACATTATTTCATAAACACCTTGTTAAGGAACTAAAATTATTTCATTAACAAATGTTCAACAATAAATAATTATAAACGGCTATATGTATAATGAGTGGATGGATGTGTTACGCTCAAAGATACGCGTTGTGAACAATTTTTTGATCAATGAGAGAATTCGATATTTGGGCGTAACAAATACACATAAATAAATAAAGTTCCAATATTATTATACATAATAATATAGAAAAATTTTACATGTACTGTGACACACAGTATTAAGTAATAAGATCATACAATAAAATATAATTTAATAGTATTTCCTAGTGGTTTAGGTCTTTGAACCCAAAATAACCCAATCTTTGACAGATATCACGCGCAGAAATAATGGGAACTCAAAAAATGCGACACGCGTGCTGAACTCAGGCTCCGCGCAAGGTGCGCACGCGCAGCTGCCCGCAATATGCCAACGCACAAACCATACACTTTCTTCTCAATCCTAGTTAATTTCTATTATTACTATAATAATGTGGAATTATATTATTAATAATTAATGAAACATATGAAATTATATGAGTAAATTGTAAAAAAAATTTTTTAACATATCTATAATAAGTTTATAAACAGAAAGATTTGTTTGCATTGCATAGGCTCCAAAACCACTGGACAAGTTTTAAGAATGCTTCTTCACACACGGGAAGCTACATCATAAGGGTGTAACATAGACCAGAACTGACGCGGGCGTAGTCTTCAATCATTTATTTCCAAAGAAATCAGTTGTTGAAATATGGCAAACGAATTATGCACGACCGAGCCATCGATTTTCGAAAGGTAATATTAATCTGCGAAGTAAAAAGTTTGGACATAATTTTCAAGGTCAAAAAAGTGTGAATTTCTTTCTGTGCTTCGTCTTTACATAAACATTTCAAATTTATTTAGAGAAGAAGCGGAGAATGCTAATATCTTCAATTCACCCGTTCATGAGGTCGAGAGAGACCAACAAACGTCAACTCATTTATAACTCCTACGAATTAACATGACACCCGAGGGCATATTCTATTTGTCCTCCGACGAAAACTTGGAATATTTCGTTACGTTCTTCTAGTTTTGTCAAAATCATATCCGAGAAGATATGGTCCAACGGAGGCAGTGACATGCTCTACCTCCGTTGCATAAATTATTGAAAAAAGGTTCCTTGTACGCGTATTAAAATTTCGAAAATAGACTAAATTTTGTTTTAGTAGAAATGTAATAGGGTTTGAGTTGTCATGTTAATTTGTTCCAGTAGTGATATAGTTCCAGCTTTCTATGCCAATGAGGCTCAAAACATCTAAAGACTTTCTTACATTATTTAATCACTGTTTAATTGCTTAATTAGTTACGTCCTGGGGTTAACAAGTTACTCACTTGCACATGGCCTTTGTGACTAAGTATGTTATTCAATAACTTAACAGGGAGTTGTAATTGAAAATGATAATACTACCAATTATTCATATTGTATGCGTATTAATAGTATTGACTGGATGGAAAACATGAATTTATATTAAAATTTATCGATAGAAAAAAAAATAGAGAGTTACCTCTAAATTTCTATTATGTTATTATCAAAAAGATATCATGAAAAATGCAAATAATAATATTTATTATTAGTTATATTTTATTAATGAAAATATATCTCGCAAATAAAATATATAACTTTATTATCTATAAAATATTTTATTATATATATAATTCAATTATATAATTTTTATAATGAGATTAAATGATTTAAAAAAAAAATCGTTGAAGAATTTATAGGGTTGAAGAATCTATTAGGTTTATAGGGTTCATTAAGAAAAAAATGTTTTCTCTTACAAACTAAGCAGTACAATATTGTCAGTCGGTTAGTACGATAAAAAAAAAATATAGGAATTTCAGTCAATAAATGTATAAAATACTAGTATATAGCACAGTCGTATTTTTTTTCGTTTTATTTTCTGACGTATCCGGTACATTGCAAAGCCAGGAGGAAACAGCAGAAACTGTTTATGAAATTTTACATTTATTTCTCAAGAAATCTGTAAAAATTTCACACGATTTCCATTTCAAAATTATCAGAACATTCGCATATCTTGTAAGTTTAAATTAGAATCAGAATGAAATTGCATTAATTATGTAGTTATACTTAAGTGAATATAAAACTTGAATTTTTAAAAAAAGTCAGCATGATTCTTCTATTTCATATTAACTCATTTCATAAATGCTAAGAAATTGATAAAACAAATTATAATGAATTTGATTATACACCTGTCTTTTTTAATATATTATATTGCATTTAAGAATAATTCACCCTTACATATAAACGTTGATTTTGATGATATTTTTTTTATTTGAAAGCTAGTGCTTGTCGTGTGCCGGTTCAATTTGGTCTGGCAATGGTATCTATGAGAAAACTATAGAAGTCTTAAATTTGCATTAAGTATGCGTGATGTTTGTTACCTTCTATTTTTTTATAGTGTGAACCGATCCTGTTCTTTTTTTTATATATACAAGCTGATGCTTTGAGTGTGGTCCCATTTCAATATATTTTTTTAATTAAGAGTATAACTACCTTCAAAATCCAAATACTATTGCACACATTCACAATACAATTTTTTTATATTTTATGGCAACGCTTACATTTATTAAATTATTTAAAAAATACACTTGACTTATTTATTTAAACTTAGCTACCGTATTCTACCACCAATTCCGTTCATTAAATTTAAAATGCATCTTATTAACGTTTTAAATAGCTGTCAAATTAAGGAGCGTTGCACCCTTGTTCGCTTCTTCTTCTTATATTAATGGCTTATCTGCGCATTTCGCACAATTCTGCCAATGTCAAGTAAATAAATTAATTTCTACATGTAAAATTAAATGAATGAAAGATGGCGATGATCCGTTTTAGCGCTAAATAAGGGGTTAATAACCACAATGGCGGATCTTTGACAGCTGATCACCTAGCAACCGTGCCTATTTTATTTTTTTATCGATGGTAATGCTGTCTGGATTTATTTCAATTTGTAACATGTATTCGATTATTTAAAAATAGATATTTTTAAAACCGATAATAACGAACGCTTACCAATATCCAAAACACATAATGATACATTTTTTTAGCTTCGATTAGCTATGAAAAGTTTTATATAAGAATAATCTGTTTTCCCGCGGCTTCGCCTGCGTAAGTTATAGCCTATGTCACACGTTCATACACGTGTAGGCTCCCGTAGATAGAAAAAAAAATCTAAAATTGGTCCAGTAGTAAATATCGGTGCCTATTCAATGTAAAGAAACATACCTTTTTCTATTTTTAATATAAGTTTAGATAGCACTCCAGTTTCTTTGGTAAGTAGCACCTAAAGTTGACTCTGTAATTATTTAGATTCCAAACTCTCGGGTAAAAAATGAAGACTTAGGGGATATTATATAGGGCTCCAATAATTTAACAAGCGTTACCAGAAGTATATTTCTTAAAGCTACTCATAAAAAATACAATACTGTCGAAGAAATCGCTATTAACTGCAAATTCATTAGGTATTGTTGAATAATTCAAGATCTTCAACAGGAGATGGACCCCTACATTTGCCATCATCTATAATAC